TTATGACGAATATTTTATGATCAAGTGACAAATGGACTATGTATTATACGTTATTGATTAATAGCCTTGAATTTATAAATTTTATCAAAACAAATACAACCCGTGCATCGCACGAGTTACATACTAGTGTGGTGCAAAAGCAGAATAAAAACGAATGAGAATAAAGGATTTCCTAAAAGTGAAAAAAAGAATATCGAAAAGTAATTTTGGCATTTTACTTTTCCTAAATTTCAAATCTCCAAAAAATACTCATAATATATACAACATATTTTTTAAAATTATTTAGGGAGTAATTTTCCATCAATTTTATAAGATAAATTTTTATTTATCTATATATATGTGTATGATTACTAGTAAAACAATTAATAAAAATATTTGGGTTTCTCTTTAAAAGACGTTACCACTTATATTAATATTTATATATATAAAGATTAACAAAAAATTAATGATATTTTTTCACTCTTTTTTTTATTTAATCATGAAAACTGACAATTACTTTTCTATTAACTAGTACAATACCCGTGCGATGCACGGGGTTATTATCTCCGTCCCTTTTAAAAAACAACTTTCAGTTAAAATTCAAAGTACTTACTAAAGGAAAGATCATGTCATTAATAATTAACAAATTAATAAGTATAATGAAATGAAATCTATATATTATTGAACATTGTCTTATATAAAACGTTTATGGTTTGATTCTTTGGCACGTCATCGTCGCCACAAATTAGGATTTTCAAACCATTTCTGTTTGTGATACGGGAGACAACAACATACAACTGGCTATGACAAATCACTGGTTTCTTAAGAAATAAGCCCACATACAAATGATTGTCCATGCTCTTATTTATAGTCATGACATAAGAAACCATAATGGGAAACTATCAACGTTGGAACTTAAAATGAATTCTACCATTATAAGGAGTTATAGCCACTCTTGGAATCAACACTTTATCACCTGCGCGATAGCCAGTGAATATCTTACGCCCGAGAACATGAGTGGAGAACTTTGTCACAACCAATCATGTCTCATTACATAGACCCATAAAGGAGATATAGTTACAAAATGTCAAGTTAAAAAAGAAAGGAGTAGCTTAAGAAATAAGATCATGTTTATCAATGTGACATAATGTTTACAAAAATTAATGAAGTTTGATATGCATCATTTATCAAACCTTGAGATTTTTTCTGCAATATTTAACTCAAAACACTCTGAACAAATTGTGAAATTTGTTGTCAAAAGAAATCCAAAAGTGTATAAATATCTATAAAGTGTGTTACAAAATATATATATATATATATATATATATATATATATTAAAGGATTTGTTATCAAAATCCGGATTTGTTATCACAATCAAATCAAATTGTGTGTAAATAAAAAAATCTCGAGATTTTTTCTGTAATATTTAACTCTAAACAATCCGAAAAAATTGTGAAATATGTTACCAAAAGAAATCCCAAAGATTATCGACAATATATTGTGTGTAAATAAAAATAAAGTGTGTTACAAAGAAAACTGTTGTTTTAAAGGGGTTGTTATCAAAATCTGAGATTTGCTATCACAATCCGAGATTTGTTATCACAATCAGATCAAATGTGTTAACAAAATCTAAGATTTGTTATCAAAATAAGATCAAATTTATTACAAAAATTCAATTATATTGGTTGACATGTGGAGCTCATTGATATTGCTTATAATAGTAAGTCAATAATTAATTTTTTATTTTGAATATTATGTGTCATATCAATGTGACATAATGTTTACCAGAATTAATGGAGTTTGTTACAATTTAATTTGGTAAGGCGTTTTGGATTGATTGAACAAAAAAATATTTTTATTTTGATATGCATCATTCATCAAATATCGAGATTTGTTCTGCAATATTTAACTTCGAGCAATCCAAAAAAATTGTGAAATTTGTTACCAAAAGAAATCCCAATGATTATCGACAATATATTGTGTGTGTATATAACTATGACGTGTGTTATAAAAAAAGAGGATACATTAAAAATTTCGTTATCAAAATTCGAGATTTGTTATCACAATCTGAGATTTGTTCTCATAATCAGATCAAATTTGTTAACATAACACGAGATTTGTTATCAAAATAAGATCAATTTTGTTACTAAAATTCGAGATTTGTTATCAAAATTCGATCAAATTTGTTACCAAAATCCGATTAAATTGGTTGACATGTGGAACCCATTGATAATGCTTATATTAGTAAGTCAACAATTAATCTTTTATTTTGAAGATTATGTGTCATATCAATATGACATAATTTTTACCAAAATTAATAGAGTTTGTTACAATTTAATTTGGTAAGGCTTTTTGGATTAATTGAAAAATAATATTTTTATTTTGTATGTATCAGTTAACAAATCTCGAGATTTTTGCTGCAATATTTAACTCCAAACAATCCAAAAAATTGTGAAATAATTATCCATGAATATCTTATGATTGATTTTATAGCTAATTTGCGTTTGAATTTGAATATATATCAAGCCATGAACATAAAATTAAATTTTTTCAGTATTTATCACATGTTTTCATAATTTGAATTTCAAATTGAAAGCTCGTCGCCCATTAAAAAAATCGAAAAAAAAAATGTATGAATAATAGTATGAATGATATTTTTTGGTGAGATTTTAGTTACTTTTTTAAGTAAATTTCTATTCCTATTATATATTTATAAATTTATTTTGTTAAAAAAATACAAAATTCAATTAATACCCACGAATTATTTGAACATCTATTGTTAAATGCTTTACAAATTATTTGATTTTGATTTACCCAAATTATTTGATTTTCATTTTGATTTTTGATTGACCAAAATTTTTGGTGGGATATCAATTGATTTTGATCTACCAAAAATTTGTTTATTTGTAGTAGATAAAATACGTTTTTAATATATTTGTAGTACAAAAATAAAATAATCTATATCTATATAAAAAGAATTACCATTTACTAAAAATAGTAGCAAAAATTTAGAAAACATTTAATGCATACTATTTTTGAATTTTTTTTAAATATATGCATTAATTATTTTTATTTACACGTTTTCAAATAAGATCAAATAACATATAATTAAATAATTATTTAAATAAATTTATTAATATCTACAGTATTTTCATTGATATTTATTATAATAAATTACAAGATCGATTTCCGTAATTCATGTTGATAATATTTTTTCAAGATAAATATTATTTTATTAATATCTGTAATACTTTTATTGACATTCATTATAATAAATTACAAGATTGATTTCTGTGATCCATTCTGGTAATATTTTGGTCAAGATAATATTACACCATATTTTAAGTTCTAACCATAATATTAGTTTTTTTTTCACAAATATTCATCTTTTATCCAAAAATATTTATGGAAAATCGTAACAGGTTAGGTAGAATTTTTTTCTAAGTAATTAGACAAAATCAAGTTGGTGAATTAATCTTTGCTAATATATTTGCTTCTTAAGCTTTATTTTTTTAAATATAAAAAATAAATCACTTTTCAAATTAATATAATTTACCATTTAAGAGATAATGACCAGATACAATAAATAGTTTTACTAATGGTAAAAGATTAAAATTGAAACATATTAACTATTATTTAGAATTTATTCGTATATTATTGGCAGCCATGATTATAATATTTTTTCATTTTTTTATTTTGATTTATTTCTATAATTAAATCTTGTAAAATATATTTTCATTGCTGAGTATACTAAATAAACCATAAATCCTTATAATGCGAATTAGAAAGATCTTGATCATAGAGGGGATCGAGTGTTTGGCATTTTCTAAATCAAAGTTGTTTAATTAGTATACAAAATTAAATTCTAAAAAAACATGTGCATATTTTGTAAAATATTTATACACAATTTAATATTAAATTTATTTACATATTTTAAATTGATTAAAATATATATATATATACTAAAATTAAATTTAAATTAGGATAAATATGTTAGTGGAATAATATATTAATTATTTTAATATTTTTACTAAAAGAATAATGTTGATTAAAAGAGGTGCAAAATATATTATAACCTTATTGTTTATTATACTTTACGTTGATTAAAAGAAATGAAAAATAGATGATAATCATATTGCTTTATATACTTAAACGGACAAAACATGTGAAAATAACTCATTTAATATTTCTGTCCCGTGTATCGCACAGGGTACGTACTAGTTTTGGTAACTACATTTGATTATTCATGTTCAAATCTCACATTTTTTAATTTTTGAATAATCAAATATGTAGATTTACCAAAATATGTTTTTAATATGTGGATTATGTTTAATTCTCACATATTTTAAATTCAAATCCTTTCCAAAGTTTATGGGATATCAATGATTTCAATTTTCAACCTAAAAATCTGTAAATTCAAAGAGATTCACATGGATTTAGTTAGGAAATAGAAAATGAATCAAATTAGTTACCAAAAAATATGGCTTGTCAATATCCTATCAAATTACCCGGATTTAGTTAGGAAATAGAAAAGGGATTAAATTAGTTACCAAAAAATATGGCTTGTCAATTTCCTATCAAATTATCCAAATTTTATACCATTAATTACGTGTGTATTTTTTGTTATTACTTATAAAAGTAAGTCAAAGCATTATTTTTTATAGTCAACCTTACTATTCTTGTATTTTTTTAACAACCTCTTTATATTACTATAGATTAGTTGCAATAAGATTTTAACTTATTTATCACATAATATTTACTACTAATATTAATCATATATATTCGGGATAATATCTCATTCTTAGTTGTAAATATATTTTAGTATCTTCTGTATCTTTTATTTTAGGTAGTTTAGATCAGTAGAGATCTTTTCTTGGCTAACAAGAAAGATTATTCTTTGTATTTATATCCCTTGTGCATCTTCACTTTTATTTCAAGGTAATTAAACCATTATCTTCCTTATGGTATCAGAGAGAAAACCTATACAACCGATATAATTTTTTTTTTTTCGACCACTGCCATGGCCGAGAAATCGAAGATGTCGGCAATCGGCTCTCCTTTATACATGTACCCGTCCGATAGCACGGGAACTCCGTTAACGCAAATAATTCTCACCGGTGAGAATTACTCGACATGGGCCAAAGCCGTGAGACGTGCACTGGATGCGAAGAACAAGGCGGGATTCGTAGATGGGTCGGTCCAGAAACCGGACAACCAACATCCCGATTACCATTGGTGGAAGATGGGCAATAGCTTAGTTGCTTCATGGATCCTCAATTCTCTGGACAAATCACTACAAAATAGCATTGTCCATGCGGCTGATGCTCGAGCCATGTGGGATGAGTTAAAGGAGCGGTTCTCGCAAGGTAATGTTCCTCGCATCCACCAATTGAAGGCGGAAATTAACTTGCTCCGTCAAGACGGTCAAAGTGTGACCGAATATTTCACAAAATTGAAGGGCCTTTGGGACGAGCTTGCCGACTACACTGACACAGTCACTTGCACGTGTGTCGGATGCACTTGTGACGTAGCAAAAAGGCTCGCAGCCGAACGAGAAATAGAGATGCTGCACCAATTCCTTATGGGACTTAATACCGAGTCCTATGGTGCGATTCGTTCTCACATTCTCAGTATGGAGCGACTTCCCTCCATCAACAAGGCATATTCTCTTATGATTCAAGAAGAACGCCAACGATCCGTCCTACGAGACCAGGAGACGCCCAAGGACCATGCCATCGTACTTGCTGCTGGAGGAAAAGGAAGTGCGCCTCGCTACATCTGTGATCATTGTGGAAAAACGGGGCACTCGAAATCCCATTGCTATGAGTTGATTGGATACCCGGAAAATTGGGAGCGCAACAAAGATGACTCCGGCCGAAGAAACAATAACCGCCGTGGACAACGGCCCGGCGGCCCAAACGGCGGCGGCAACAACAAACCTACAGCTCCTCGCGGCTCTGGTGCAGCCCATTCCGCTCAGACCAACGGCGCTGCAGCAGGAGGAAGTGCGGCTGGTCTTCACACTCTCACCGACATGGAGTATCGACAACTTATCAACCTTCTGGGCTCCGTCAAAATGGCATCTTCCCAACCTTCAGACACACAGCCGCTCGAAGGTAATATCACGACTTTTTCTCGATCATGGATTCTTGATTCGGGAGCTTCGGAACATATGACCGGGCACTTGGAACTCCTAACGAATTGCACGCCCATCCGAGGACCATGTCCCATCACGACAGCAAATGGAACGATCTCTCATGTAACCTTTCGTGGAACTGTTTCATTTAGCCCAATTTCAAATTACATAACGTTTTATACATACCCGGCTTCACTTGCAACTTAATCTCTATTGGAAAGATTGTGATGGATTTAAACTGTTACGTGACTTTTCGCTCGTCTCACTGTTTTTTGCAGGACCTCACCTCGAAGACGTTGATTGGAGCGGGTAAGCTACAAGGGGGGGGTCTATCGCATCGAGCCGAGTGACGTGTTTGCCGCAGCCACTGTGACCAACTCTCCAGGTTCGATTCGAGTAACCCCCGAGATGTGGCACCGGCGTTTAGGTCATCCCTCCCACAAGATTTTACATTTAGTTTCCCCTACTCTTGTTAATAAGGATCATGAGAATCCATGCGATGCTTGTTATCGTGCAAAACATGCGCGTTCGTCTTTTCCACTTAGTGATAATCGAGCAACCTCTCCCTTTTCTCTTTTACATTGTGATATTTGGGGACCATATCGCACAAAGTCTATTTCTGGGGCTCACTATTTCTTAACCATTGTTGATGATTGCAGTCGAGCTGTTTGGACTTTTTTAATGCGTGACAAATCAGAAACCTTTAACCTTTTGTCAATTTTTTTCACATTGGTCTATACGCATTTTGGTACCGTCATCAAATTTTTTCGGTCAGATAATGGTAAAGAATTTCTATCAGGACCTTTGCAAAATATTTTTCATCAAAAGGGCATTGTTCACCAAAAATCATGTGTTTATAGTCCGCAACAAAATGGGCGCGTCGAGCGTAAGCACCGCCATATCCTCAACGTGGCTCGTGCCCTTCGCTTTCAAGCCAATTTACCGATAAAATTTTGGGGCGAATGTGTTCTCACCGCAACCCATGTCATCAATCATACCCCAACACCACTCTTATTCGGAAAATCACCTCTCAAGGTACTTCATGGTAAACCGGTCTCTTATGATCATCTTCGTGTTTTTGGGTGCCTTTCTTACGCCAAAACATTTCCTCGACCACTCGACAAATTTGCATCTAGGTCCCGTCGTTGTGTCTTCCTTGGCTATCCTTATGGCACGAAAGGGTGGAAGTTTTATGATCTCGACACAAATGAAGTCTTCATTTCTCGAGATGCCATTTTTCACGAACATGATTTTCCGTACATGTCTCAAACGCCACAACCTACACTCATCCCTCCGACCGATCCACCTAACCACACTCCTTTGTCTGATGAGCCAACCCCGTCTGACCCACCGACGTCGTTGCCACCGCCGGTTACTCGAACCGCATCTTCTACTCCCGCCGATCACCATCCAGCCACTCCAGATGAGGGCACCACCCACTCGGACGATAGCTCATTATCTTCCTTAATATATAAATCCACACTAACACTTTATGCAAATTATACACTTATAAAAAAATTGTCACATTTCTCGCAATTTTTTTTTTTTTTTGTCACATTTAATTTCCCATGAACGACTCTCACCATCTTCTTATCCATATTAAATGTATTGATGCTTTGAATATTCATATGAGAATCCAAGCTTTTTCATGCTACTTATATAATATGTCAATTAATACACGCAACCATGGGCAGAGCTACATGTATCTTGTTACACAAAGTGTGTTCTGAATTACAACGGGAACCTATGAACTGACTGAAGTGTTCAGTTCGTACAAAAGAACAAAAAATGAAATTACAACTCGAACGCGGAGAGATTTGAGCCGAGGCGATTGAAATCTATCCGCAAGACAAATACGCCCCGTGTAGTGCTGACGGGTCAGTGCGTAATGTCCCCAAAGATACAACGGCTTTAACACTCGGAAGCTGTAGCACACCAGCCTTCAGAGTCCAGTCGAACAAGAATGAAGTCGAGAACCGAGAACTATGATATGATGCGTGAGGCTTTTGAGAGTATCAGATTGCATGAAATGATGTGTATCTTCTCTGCAACTCAATGTCCTATTTATAGGACTTCCACCTCT